TCCACCCCCCCACCCCCCACCCCTGCACTGCTCCTTCCCTGCTCTCTCTCTTTCTCTCTCAAAGTAAATTAATAAACATTAAAATTAATAAAAAAAAAATAAAGTTGTCAAACAAAAACAAAAAGCAACGAACAGAAAGTAAACGAAATTCTCAGACCAACGCTAAAGGAAGAAAGAGATAGGTAGTGAACTGGTTGGACAGACACCAGGAAGAGGGACCACCAAAGAAGAGACCACCAAAGGAGAAAAAGAAAAGGGGAAATGAAGAGCAAGAAAGAAGCAAACTGGAAAAAGGCTCTCGCATGGGATACTTTGGGTTTTTAGTCCCAATTCTGCCTTCAGGGGCACAGTGACTCATGAAAGGTCACTTAACTGTTCTGAGCCCCAGGTTCCTCCTGTAATTTCAATGCAAGAGACAGGGTTCGACCATCTGAGGACCCCTCTAGGGCCTCCTTAGAACTTTCCAGAAACAGTTGCCCCTGCATCCAGCCCCTCTCTCTTTCCACTTCAGCTGCTGATGTGGGGGGGCTCTATTGAGCCGTGGAAAGAACCTGGAGGAAGTAAGAAGAAAAGAAAGACCAACATGTAGGAGCAACATAAGGCACACTCAGAAATGAAACGACAAATAGATCAAGTCTTATAGGAAAAACAGAAGACATTCACTGAAACAAAATAATTGCGTTAACCGCTGTGTGGCAGGCATGATGCCAGTTAAAGTTTTCTTCTGTTATTATCACCTATTGACTTTATCTTTGTGTCCTTGTAAATGGTATTTATAATCAAGTCTCAATTCAAATTTTAAAACAGAAAGATGGTGTCTAAGTGGGTGGGCAGGAGAAAGCATGAGAGGGAATGTGTCAGGGAAGGAAAACCTCAGCTACACATGTCAAATAACAGAAAACTAAAACAAAAATGGTCTCAGCAGAAAAAGCATCGAAGATCCTGTGGAAAAGGGACTTTCAAAGCAAAAGCCGACAAACAGCAAAGGCCTAAAACAGAAAAATCCTAACGACAAGGGAGAAAATAGCCAAGTTTTGCAACTCGTGTGCCCAGCACACCGGTGTGTCGAGCATGGGTTCCTGTCATGACTACTGGCCGCGAGGCCACCAGCTGGGAAGAGCCTCATCCATTTGTCACAGTGTGTGACATCATTACCAAGTAAGGATAAAAGAATAATACTGCTAATTATCTTCTCAGCCGGGCTGCAACATGGCAAAGTTTGAGGAGCACAGCAGCAGTGACCACAGGAAGGAGAGAAGCAGAAAGACCCATCTGTGAAAGCAAAACTAAAGGGAAATTCGTAACTGCATAAGCAGACAGAGATGATGGCACCTGGTTATGCTCAGATATAGACAGGGGGACGGAGCAAAGCTCCCCAGGCTCCCTGGTACAACGGTACAGCTAAAAATAGATGCTGAAACACTTATTATTATTATTTGAGCTGGAAGGAATCTTAAAGGTTAAGACAGGACTTGAATCCTGGTCTCGCAGCTCTGCGGGCACGGATCTGTGCCCTCTTGGCTTGGGGGACCAGGTCACACGTGGGTGGGGCTCTCCCCACCGCAGAGCACACTGTAGCTGGTGGAGTGTAAACAAGAGGTTCGTGTTCCTCGGATGAATGAGGGAATTAGCGCATTTCTTTCAAACATTCATGTTACAAATGTCCAGAGAGGCACAGAGTAGAGAGCCCAGGTGTCCTGGCTGCCAGGACAGGGCTTGCTATCCTTCTCTGCCATCCTTTCTTTGCTCCGGGCCTTCGACCAAGGAACAGAGTGGCCCCCAGGGTGCATGCTGCGAGCGAGAGCCCAGAGCCCCCTCTGCAGATCCTGGCTATCTCGTTCCCTGGGGACCTCAGCAAAGCCATTCCTTCTAAGCTTTAATTTTCTTCTCCGTGAAATGCTGTGACCAGATCAAGTCATTTGTGTGACTTCTTAGTTAAAAGGGGCACATAAACTCCTACTCTACCTCAAGGAAAATCTCTGAATTTTAAATCAAATTCTTAGGATATCTTGAATTGAAACCAGCTCTCAAGACTTCTCACCCTGACCATCCTTGGGAGCTTCCACTGATGAATGTGTACAACGTAATTTTTTTGATATATCTGAGCAATGTTTACAATTTTTTTCACACGCCAAAAAGAACAACACACTTCTTTTTCACGTATCTAACTTTCTTCAGAAAGTGGCATAGAACTTTCAGGAAGGTAGGGCGCCTGGGTGGCTCAGTCAGCTAAGTGTCTGACTGTTGATTTCATCTCAGGTCACGATCTCACGTTTTGTGGGTTCGAGCCCTGAGTCGGGCTCTGTACTGACAGTGTGGAAAAGGACTTTCAGGAAGATGAGTTTTGAAGGATATTAGTTATCTGAATTTGGATAATAGATTTTTGCCTATATACAAAATGCTAATTGTTAGTTCCTAACAAAGTCTTCTTAAATCGAGAAGCCAGCTTTGCATTTCTATCTTTGGGGTTGGGGACTAAAATAAAAGGCTGTGCTTTCAAAAGGCAAAACCTTTTTTAAAAATTACTGTTCAAATCTCAAACACTAAAAATTATGATTTCTATCTGTGTCTGATGGGAACAACTCCATGCCTAATCTCTCCAGACTCAGCAGACAGGAGGGAAGCCAGAGGCAGCTGCTGCAGGGACACTAGGCAAGCGTGTGCCCGTGTGCCCGGTTGTTCCCTCCTCTGTGTCGTGTCCTCTCTTCCCCTGGCTTCTGCACCTCCAGGGCTCACACAAAGGCCTCGCAGGATTAGCTGCCCCAAAATAGCCTTAGGTAAACACACCACCTGTCTAGAAGATTAAAACATTTTTGCCTAGAGGCTACTCTTTTCTTTCTGTAAAACTACGTGTCTAATTCTGAGCCTCTTCCAGAAGCAGATTGAATTTTTTTACAATGAATAAAAGATTCATTATTTACCTTGAGTCCCCACACCCCTCTCTTTGTGATCATCATACACTGCCTGCTGCAAGCTCTCACAGAGGAAGAATGCAAGTTCTCTGTTTCCAGAGTGCAAGGAAAACGAGGGAATTTTTGACACAAAGACCCAAGGATTTTTGAACGGTGGCTTAATGTCTAGAAGTCTAATAAATGTAATGCATAGTAACAATCCCTGAATTTGAAAAAGGTTTTATACTTTGCAAGATACTATTATGCCATCTGACACTGAGGTAAATTTTGAGGAGTAGATATTTTGTTTAATTTTTTTAATGTTTATTTGTTTCTGAGAGAGAGAGAGAGAGAGAGAGAGAGAGAGAGAGAGAGAGACAGAGTACTAGTGGGGGAGGGGCAGAGAGTGAGGGCTCCGGGATCTGAGCTGTCAGCACAGAGTCCGACACGGGGCTTGAACTCATGACTGGTGAGATCATGACCTGAGCTGAAGTTGGATGCTTAACCCACTGAGCCACCCAGGCAGCCGGAGATATTTTTTTAAACGTTTATTTCTTTATTTTGAGAGGTGGGGGAGGGGCAGAGAGAGGGAGAGAGAATCCCAAGGATTCTGTCAGCGCAGAGTCCAATATGGGGCTCAATCTCATGAACCATGAGACCATGACCTGAGCCTAAATCAAGAGACACTTAACCGACTGAGCCACCCAGGGGCCCCGAAGGGTAGATATTATTGACACGTGAGTGTCATGAGTGCTAAAGAGTTTGCATGCCCAAGACCACACAGCTGGTGAGAAGCTGAAGCTGTGAATCTGATTCAATGATCCTACTTCCTAACTTAAGGCCCTTTCATCGCACAAAGAAGCAGTGTTCCTCTGTTCCTTTTCAGTTCAGAAAAGAGAAAAATGGTTTACTTCTTTCATATAAGCAGAGAAACGGCTTCTCTCCTCTCCACCTCCCTTCTTGGTTCAGCATGATTGTACCAAAAGTGAAAGTCCTAGAAGCATATATGATGCCAACACGTCCTAATCTGAAGCAAACAGGAAAATGAGGGGGCCAATTTGTCCCCACGCTGCTGACACTTCTGTGCTCCTATTGAAGGCTGCCCCTGTCTGATTGTCTGATCGTCCTGGTTCAGATAAGCCAAACTCATTTTTCCTATCAAGTCCCCTGGAGTGTATTTACAGCAAGGATTCCTGTCTGCATTTGGATTAATTCAGATATCAGGAATCTACTTAATCTGATTTCTTCTAGAGGGGGGCAAGTGGAGGTTGATTATTTTCCGAAGGGAAAGAACGCAGATATGAAAGCGAGTGTCTTACAGGAATTAGCAGCCGTGCATAGTGGATTCGGTCTGATCAGACTGGATCAAACCCAGCAGCCCATGCAAGAAGCCACTGCAGCTGAAGAATATCCCCCTTTTCATGGTCAAGTGTGTGTGTGTGTCTAAAGACCTTGAACTCACCCTACGAAAAAGTACTCTATCTGGAAACAGAAAAACAAGAGCTTAAAATATACAGTCCCTTTGTATAAGACATTTCAAGTGAGAGAAGATGTGGAGGGAGAGAAGCCTTTGTACAGATTTTAGAAAACCTCCTAAACAAGAAAATGTCAGTGTGATTCTTCTTACTTGTGGGGAGCGACAAGAGCACCGAGAGCAGCACCGGTGTTCCCACCCATCTCTCAGAATATTCACGCCTTCTGTCGCTGGGGCTGCCAGGAATAGAGCGAAGCTCACTCCACGAAATCCAGACCGGGTTTTCATTTCTTTCCCCTGCCAATCCTCACCAAAGGCTAACCTGACAGATCTAAGGTTCACTTCCCTCCTACTCACTGGTGGGAAAAACAGGCAGTTTGAAAAGGTCAGAGGGGGAAAGGCTGGCTGCGGGGATTGAGGAGTGGGAAGAAGAGGAAATTTGGTAAGGAAATTAGCTCCTTAATAATTTAGGTGGGGTATTGTTCTCTTCTCCCAAAACGCCCCTTTCTACAGACAGCCTCCCCTGCCACTTCAAACACGAAGCAGTAGGATTGCTCTTAATCCCTTAAAACTGATTATCAAAGTCACATTCACTCACCAGCAGCTGCTCCGTTCTGCTTTCTGGTGACTGCGCATCATCTGTGTTCTACCACAAAGCTCATGGTTGTGCCATCAAAGGAGGGGGGCGCAATGATCCTCGGCCCCAGGGGTTGCGAAGAGATGCTGATGACAGGCTTGCCGTGCAGCTGGGCGAAGCCCTTGGCCCCCACGAGCTGGGATGTGGCTGCTGCGGCCGAGGAGGAAGAGGAGGCAGGAGACTGACCAGAGGCCATGAAGTATGGGGCCTCAGTGAATGTCGAAGCTGCGTCTTTGCTGGGGGGCTCTGCCGCCATGGACGAGAGCTCACTGCTCCCTGGGGTGTGAGCAATTGGCGTGGGCTGCAGGGCACTGGTGGGCAGCACCGTGGGCAGAAAACCGGGGTAGATCATGTAGGTGGGTGCATAGGCCCCAGGACTCAGGGCCAAAGGAGGCACAGGGAGGGACATGGGAGCCACAGCCTGCTGCTGGGAGGTCATAGGCACATCCACATACTGCCCTGTCTCAGGGTCAAAGAGTCTTCGGGTCATGGGCTGTACTGGTGTGTCCACCAGATAGTACTGGCCTGTCGTCACATCCAGGAGCATCTTGCGCTGGGTCTGCTGAGGCTGTGGCTGCTGGAAGGGGTCTGCGGGGACTGAGGCCGGGCCTGCAGGTGCTGGGGCAGGCATGCTGGGTGGGGAGAAGCAGAGGACCTGGGGCTGGGCTCCCTGCAGGGTGAAGGGTAGTGGCTGCTGGTGGTAGATGGCAGTGGGAAGATGCTCTGGGCTCTGTGGCCCTTGGGGGGCAGCTACTGTCTCCCTGGGGTTGTCGGGTTTGGTGCGCCAAGCTGGCCGGCCGGTTCCACTGACCTGAGAGCCTTTGGGACTACTGGGGACCTGACTGCGGGCGCTCAGGGGTGGCAAGCTGCAGAGAGTGGTCGCTGAGGAGGCGGGCGGCCCCTCCCTCCCAGCCCCGGGCCGGCCCGGAAGCTCTCCAGCTGCAGAGCTTCCTTTAAGGGGGATGGTCAGGTAATTCTCACAGTCACTATTGTTCTTTTCCAAATTGCTGCCGTTTTTCCTATTGGTCACCTCATCAGGAGGTGCCCGTGTGGCCGGAGAGATCTTGAGGGACCGGAGTCCCTGTGATTTGATGCCCTTTGCTGCCGAAGGACTCTCTGGCGAAGGCCCTTGTGGGAACTTGCCAGCGACACCCCCAGTTTTCTGGGTGCTGCTGGCACTCACGGTGAACACATTTCGGTTGCTGGGGAGTGGGGGGAGGGGCTGCAGGGGCTGGGTTCTTTCCACATCCTTGTGGACTGGGGGAATATAGAGAGATCGAGGCCTCTCCCTGGCCAGGTTCTCAAAGGCAGCTGCCCGGGCAGACACACTCTCAGTGCTAGGGTTGGAGTTTCTCCGCTGCAGACGTTCCACGGGGCCCCCACGCAGGACCACACCGCCTTTGTTTCCTGCGCCCCGCTCCTCCAGCTCACCCAGTCGTCGGGCCAGCTTGTCTGGGTCCCCCTCAGCACCCGCAGCCCCTTCCCTCTCCTCACTGGCAATGAGCGACAGGACATGGCTGTCCATCATCATGGGCAAAGGGTCACTTTTGCGCTTCCACTCGTTCCTGTTGAAGCTGTACAGCTCTTCCATGGACCTCACTGCGGCAGTCAGCTTCTCCAGGGCATTCCGAGATGGCTTGGGGCCTTTCCCTTCCTCCTTGACCTCCTCCTCCTTGGCCTTCTCTGGGGTCTTCTGAGCAGAAGCCTTAGAGACGATCTTGAGCACAGGCAGGTAAGACCCCTGCTCCGGCTTATTGGGGGCAATGGTAGCCACGGGCAGCCTGCCAGATGCCCTATGAACCAAGACTGTCCCTTCCGGTGAGGAGGAATTCAAGACCCTGCCGCTGCCACCTTTGCCTATGTTCTCCCTCGGCTCACGGTCCATGCTATCTTCCCTCTGGTTCACCACGGCCTGGCACGTAATCACTATGGGGGAAAGGGATTTGGATCCGCCAGCTGCAGCGGCCAGCTGCCTGGGTTTGGGCCCGGTCAGCCCCTGCTCTGGGGTAACGCTGCCCTTGTCACTGCTGTCCCCTGACCCTTTGATTAGTTTCCTGACATCTCTCACCTGGTGGAGGGGGCCCTGGGCCTTGGACTTGTCTCTGACGTCTCTCACCTGGAACTGGGGCACTTTTTCCAGGTTGTCTCCCCGGAAGAGTTTCTGCTGCGCTCTGCTGTTGTCCTCAATGGTCTTAAAGAGGTTAGAGGCGCTGCTGCTGGCCAGTTTGGGCGTGAGCAATTTGGCAATGTTGAAGTCCGAGCTTGGCTGCTGCACGCTCCCCAGCCGGATCTTGATTTCGGGAGCCTTGGGCCGGATCACTGCCATGGAGGTGGCTTGGGCAGCAGGATACTTGGTAGCCTGCTTCCCCGGCTGCTTGTCCTTGGGCGTCTGCTGGATGTTGGGGACGAAAAGGCGAGACATGATGGTGGACTTGCTGGCAGAGATCTCTCCGAGATCAGCCCTCCAGTCGCCCCCTTTGGGAAGCTTCAGCTTCCCAATGGGGGCTTTTTCTTCCCTCTTCTCTGCCTCCTTCTCCTTCCAGGACCGGAATGCACTGTTCTGACTGCGGAGGAAGATGCCTTTGACAGTCTCTGATGCACTCTTCTTAATTTCGCAGACTTCCTCCGTATGTCCATCCGGGAAATTTCGCCAGGAGACCGCGGCGCTCTCCCGAGGAGCACTGGCTTTGAAGATTGGGGATTTAGACTCGGCTGCGGACCCCTCCGCACCTGCGTCCGCCACGCTGAGCACCGTGTACTCAGAGCCCGCCTCTGAGTGGCGAGAGCTCTGCCTCTGCAGGCCCCTCTCCCGCGGCTTCTCCCCCCGAGCAGGGCTCTCTGCCGTCTCCTTGGAGGTGCCGGAGAGGTTATGGTGGGATGTGTCGCTGACTTCTCCCCTCTCCATTTTGAACTCATGTTCCCGCTGCATCTTCTTGGAGATGACATTTTTGAGCAGACTGGAAGCAAACTTGGACTTCTTCTGGGGGCCGTCGGCGCGGGAGGCAGGCTTGCTGCTCTCCGAGGTCTCCGAGCCATCGTCAGTGTGCACCGACCCGGGGCCCTTGCTGGAGCCTCTGGTGGTTCTGCAGGGCCCAGTGGCCGAACTGGCTTTGCTGTCACTGCGGCAATTCATGGGCTCGAGAAGGGTGACCACGCGGGAGCCCGTCTGGACCTGCTTCTGGAAACACAGCGGGGTCTCCACATGTTTGATTTCCCCCTCGACTTTGCTGACCACGAACTCCAAGGCTTTGGTCTGGGACTTCTTGGACTGGATGTAGAGCTGGTCTGCGGCCGTCCTGGCCCCACCGCCCTTCCTCAGACCCGCGGCCACGGAGGCCGCACTGCTCCTCAGGAGGCTCTGCTCCACCCTGGCTCCAACACCTCCACATTTTAAGTCCAGGAAGGTCGACCACCGCCCAAAGCCGACCTCGGAGAGCGTGGAGGACTCCCGGGAGCTGATGTTCAGGGCCTCGAAGTAGGGGTAGGCGAGGCTCCGGAAGGCCCGGGAGGTCAGGTTCCGCACCTCCTTGTCGGCATCGTCCAGTTCGCTCACGGCACTGGAGGCCCCGCTGGAGTAGTCCACCAGCTCCTTCGCCCGGATGGCCCCGCACCGGGTCTGCAGGCGAGCAGGGACAGCGATGAATTTCTTTGCATGGTCCTGAGCCACGGCTGCAGCCGGGTCTTGCTTCAGTGAACTTGAATTGTGTTCAGCAGCTGTAGAGACGCGGAGGCTCATGTCGCCTTCATGCTTGGCAGCATAAATAATGTTTTGCTTTGCACGCACGTTGCTAGGCTCATTTATAGCCCGGGAAGTCGGTTTGATTGATAGGAGGATCTGGCTTGCCGCACTCCCACAGCTGCTTGCGGCGGCGGCTGCCCCTGACGCTGCCTCCGGGGGCTCGGGCAAGGGCTCACTCGGGGTGGCGGTGCCAGGCCCGGTGGGTGGGGGAGTGGGGTCACTGTCAGAGGGGCCGCTGCCCACTTCCGTGCTGCTGGTGTGGCGACCACTGCTGTCGGCGTCAGGGCGGGCCGGGTCGCTGCTGGTGGGGCTCGGAGTCTGGGTGGCATTGGTGCTAGGAGTGGTGCTGAGGTAGCAGCTGTTGTCGTCGTCCTCTTCGGTCGGGGTGGTGACGTCCCCCGGGGTCTCATCGCTGCCACCGAAGGAAGCGTAGTCCACGAACGAGTAGATCACGTTGTTGTCCTCGAAATCCCAGCGGGAGGCCAGTCCCACGTCAAAATCCATGTCCTGCTCCACCTCACTCAGCTGGATCTCGTGGGTGGTGATGTAGTGAGCCTCCTCATTTTTGGGGGGGTCCCTGCCGCCCTGAGACTTGGCAATAATGTCCCTGCACTCTGTTCCGTCTCCCCCTCCCCCTCCCCCTCGGCCTGCCCCTCCCCCCC